TCTTTCTTTCTTTCTTTCTTTCTTTCTTTCTTTGCCTTCCAATCAGTTTTTGACTCCTGGCGGCTGCCTGGACTAGCCCCTTGCTTGGCAAGACTTCAGAAGTGGTTTGCCATTGCCTCCTTCCTAGGGCTGAGGGAGAGTGACTGGCCCAAGGCCTCCCAGCTGGCTTTGTGCCTAAGGCAGGACTGGAATTCACTGTCTCCCAGTTTCTTGCCTGGTGTCTTAACCACTATACCAAACTGCCTCTCCCTCACATATTAATTGCTATTATTTCTTCTGTTTCAGTGCTTTTTTTTTTTTTTAGAGTTTTTAACATAGATAAAAGACAAGTACAGAAATAAAGAAAAGACAGAAAAAAAGAAAAAGAAAAAAGAAAAAGTTCAGAGAACAATACAGTTAAAGGGAAAAAAAGATAATTAAAGAAGCTACTTCCACCCTTCTTTACAGTAGTTACAAACTCATTATCCCTCCTCACTCTTTAACATTGCAATAGGCTCTTTAGCCCTTTATTCAGTCTTTTTCAATCATCAGATCCAGAAATCACCATTTCAATTTTTTCCATTTCCAGCAAAAAGTTCATAAAAGGTTTCCAGTCTTTTATAAAAGTGGTTATTGTTTATCCCTGACCAAACAGGTCAGTTTTGCCATTTCTGCTAATTCTGCCATCTTTACAATCCATTCCTCTGTTGTGGTATTTCAATATTTTTCCATCTTTGTGCATATAGTAATCTTGCTGCAGTTACCATATATAAGACTGGTATATATACCATATACCAGTCTTCCATAAATCTTCTCTGACTATCCATAGGTCCCAATAAAAAAAGTTCTGATTTCATCTCAATATTTATCTTCAAATTTTTTTGTATTATCATATGTATTTGTTTCATGCATGGTCCCTTCATGTTTTTATACGTATTAGATAATTTCTCTGGTGTCATATACTGTGATGGAAAGCATCAGCGTGTAGGATCCTGGAATGGAGCTTTAACGTTACAGGGAGGGGGAGAGACCTTCCAAACATCTCCTCAGCCCCCAGCCGGAGCCTGTGAAAGTGAAGAGGAGACTGGCCCCTCCCTAAGGGATTCAGGGTTATAGTTGCTGTCATTGGGGGTTAGAGTTAGTCTGGTGAGATTCTGTCTATTAAGTGTAAGCTAATAAAGTAACTGAGCTGTTCCTGGACTGTCTCACTGTGGTTCTTGGGCTGAACCTGACATATACCAACAGTACATCATTTTATAAAAATTATCTCTTAAATTATAACACAGTGTGAATTTCAGTCCTTTTATCCACATTCTCTCCCATTGATCCATCTATATATTGTAACCAAACTTCTTAGCCCATTTTATCATGCAGTCTTTAACTTGTTCCTCTTCTGTTTCAAATCACAAGACAAGTTTATACATTTTTGCAATCACATGTTCATCATTTATATACAATTCATTTTCACATTCTGTCTTATGTTGTTCAATCCCCATTACCTTTTTATTCATATTAAATCTTTCTCTTAATTGTGCGTATCAAAACCATTTAAAATGAAATCCCTCTGCAGTTAATTGTTCTCTTGACTTCATCTTCAGTTGTCCATCTTCCTGTATTAATAAGTCTTGATATGTTAACCATTTCTTTTTGCCTGCTGTTTCATTTCTATAAAATGCTTTCTGTGCTGAGACCAGTAAAGATATTTTCAGGCACAACCTGGGTTTATATTTATTCCATATCTTTAATATGGCACTTCTCACATAATGATTTTTGAAATCTACATTAACTTTAACTTTATCATACCATAAAAGCCCATGCCAACCAAACCTCAGGTTATGTGCTTCTAATTCTAACATTCTTTTATTTCTCAGCAACACCCACTCTTTCATCCAAACCAAATAGCAGGCTGCAAAATACAATTTAAAACCAGGCAATCCTAGTCTTCCTCTTTCTTTTGCAACGTGAAGAATTTTATATTTAACCCTTGGTTTCTTACCCTGCCATATAAATCTGGATATGTCTTTTTGCCATTGCTTAAAAGACACATCATTTTTCAAAACAGATATTGTTTGAATTAAAAACATCATTCTACATAACACATTCATTTTTACTACAGAAATTCTTCCATATAATGATAATTGTAACTTTTCTAATCTTTATAAATCTTTCTTAATTTCACTCCATACCTCGACATAATTATTTTGAAATAACATACAACTCATATTAGTCATAATGCCAAAGAATTTTACTTTTTTCTCAATCTGAAAACTAGTTTTTGCAATCAATTCTTTTTGATCTTCCATTCTCATGTTTTTTGTTAACAACTCTGTCTTCTCCTTATTAATTTTAAATCCAACTAATGCACCAAATTCCTTTAATTTTTTTCATTAATATATCTATTCCTTCCATAGGATTTTCCAAAATTAAAACCAAATTGCCCACAAATGCTCTTAATTTATATACTTCTTTTTTTACCTTTACCCCAGCTGTTCTCTCATCTTGTCTTACACCTATTCAAAACTTCAAGAGCCAGAATGAAGAGCAATGGTGAAAGTGGGCATCCTTGTCTTGTCCCTTCATTATTTCACGGGGTTTTGCCAAATCACCATTAACTATAATTTGTGCTGTTTGTAAAGTATATATTGATTTCACTCATTTAAGAATTTTTTTTTCCAAATTTCCTATTTTCCAAAATATGTAACTGACATACCATTACAGTAGGGTATGTCACATTTTTATCTGTTATTTTATCTTTGTTATGCTAGTATTTTATCTTATTTATCTAATTTTACTTTGGTGTTACATTTTTTCAAATTTTGCTGGTCATTGACCAAAAAAACATTAATTCATTTTATATTTTCCAATTGTTTTTTATAGGAGAATCCAGTTCACGTTGTCAAATGCTTTCTCCATGTCAAGAAATATCAGCATGGCTTGTTTTTCATTATGGTGTTCCAAATATTCTAATATATTAAGAATATTTCTAATATTGTCTCTTAATTGTCTTTTAGGCAAGAAGCCACATTGATCTTCATGTGTAAAATCTTGCAAGACATTTTACAACCTTTCAGCTAGCATTATAGTAAATATTTTATAATAGTTCAATAAAGATATTGGTCAGTAATTTTCTGATGAAGTCAGATCTTGGCCTCTTTTAGGAATTAGTACTATATTTGTACCTGTCCAACTTTCTGATATCCTCCCACTATCCAGAATGGAATTCATCATTTTTTAAAGAGGTTGTAATAGTTTGTCTTCAAAACATTTATAATAGGAAGCTGGCAATCCATCTGGGCCAGGAGTTTTCCCTATTTTAGTTTTTTCTATAGCCTCACAGATTCCCCTTATTGTTATAGGTTCATTCATCATCTGCTTTTCTTTATCCATTATCTTTGGTAAAAAAATAAATAATTAAAAAAAAATATTTAACCACTTTTGTCTGGGAAATTTCTTCTCCTTTATAAAGTTTTGTATAATACTGATGGAATATTCTTTGCATATTTACATTATCTGTTACCATAGCATTCCCATTTTGTAATTTTAATGTCATTTTCTTCTCACTTTCTTTTCTCAGTTTATAAGCTAGCCATTTCCCTGGCTTATTTGCCAACTCAAAATTCTTCTGTTTTGCAAAATTCATGTTTATTTCCATTTCTTTAATTGTTAACATAGAAAGTTTGTAGAAGTTTAATTTGTGAGAATTTTTTTCTTCCTGGAGACCTCTTTAATTCCTCCTCTTTCATTTTTATCACCATTAAAATCTTTTGCATCTTCTCTTCTCTTTGTCTTTTCAATTTACCATTTTGCTGTATAAATTGTCCTCTCATAAAGGCTTTACTTGCATCTCATACTGTCCATGCCTTTATTTAATCTAAAAGAATTCTTTTAGCTTCGTTTTACAGTTCTCAATTATTAATTATTTTTGTAGCAAAGTTTCATTTAGCCTCCATCTGTAAGTTCTACCTTTCCTCTTATATATTAAAGTCACTGGAATATGATCTGAAAAAGATTTTGGTAATATCTCCACTTTATTGGTACATGTAGTGAGTTTCTTAGAAATCCAAAACATATCTACTCTTGAGAAAGATCTGTGTCTTTCAGAAAAGTATGTATATTCTTTGGAATTGCCATTTTTGTGTCTCCATATATCTATAAGCTCAAAGTTGTCCATCATTTCAAAAACTATTTTCAGCAATTTACCTTGTGTTGATTTAATTCCTTTCATAGAGGTTCTATCTTTTTGCGGGCAAACCACTCCATTCCAATCTCCTAAAAAACACCACTTTTCATAGGATAATTCTGTTCGTTTTTTCATAAATCCCTTAAAAATATGGCTTTATTGTCATTTGGCACATATATTCCCAATATCATAATTTTAGTTTCATTCCAGTTGATTTTAACCTCTACATTTCTGTCATGGTCATCATTCATTATCAGTTTTGACTGTAACTGTGTTAATATATGAAACAGCTCTATTTTTCTTGGCAGTCCCTGCCAATATAAATTCTTGTCCCAAATTTTTATAAATCAAATGTTTTTTATCTTTTTTTTCTTATATGAGTTTCCTACAGTATAATCAAATTACATCTTGTTTTAATTTTGTCAAATAATGAGATACGTTCTTTCTTTTTTGAGGGGCATTTGCCCCATTTATATTCCACATTAGGCATCTAAAATCCATGTTATTTTATAAGCTTGGAAAAGTCTATATCAATGGTGCCCAGCATTGTGGCGTCTTCCTCATCTTCCTGCAGGTCAAAGGTGGCTTTGATATTCTGCTGCTCTGAAGGTTTCTTTACACTTTAAATTTTCTCCATCCAAAAGTGCTTTAGAAAGTGGATTGGGTGAACCCAGTGTCCTTTAAACAGGCTTTGCTTGAGGCTGTGAGCATGCTGTTTTCTCCCATGGCTCCTGGTGCTCTTTATTCACAAGTCACCCGCACAGCCCCTCTGGCACCTGCTGGTTTCCTCACAGGGAGCTGTCCTCCAGAGCCTGAGTAGGTGATCTCGCGACTTTCTTCTTGTCCAGAGAAGCTCTGTTAGCTCAAGCGCACCACCCGCCTGCCAGCCTTTGCCTCTGCATTGTCCCCAGTGCACGGAGACGTGCTAGCCCACCATATTTCCACCCCGGAAGTCCTGTGTCTGTTCTTTAGAATTATACTAAAACACTGAACAGCTTAAAATATTTTATTGCTCCTGTGCCACTTCAATTTCATAATTGCAATTTAATTTAGAAAACCGCTTTAGCAGAAATGTAAAAATGGTTTTAAAAGATTTGTGTTTTTATTTTAAAATGGCATGCCCTTCCTTACTGATTTGCCTGGATCATGTCCCCATAAGAAAGTTCAGATGAAAGGACTTGCAATTTCCACTCTTCCACTCACTCCAGTGCTTCACGAGATGCTTCTTTTTGATCTGGAGGATTCAGGAGGCAACTTACAAAAGGTATTAAGTAACAAGACAATATAAAAGCCACATAAAATACACTCATACATAGAAAGACCATAGCATCACTTTACAAAATGCTATCCAGCAGGAGCTCAACAGCATTACACACACACACACACACACACACACAAATGTTCTCTAACCAGGCAAAAACCAAGGCCAAAGGCGCCAAGAACATTGCTGGCCCACTAGCTGTGATCTCCGTGACTCTTCCTTCACTGACTAATGGGATGTTCAGAGCTCCTTCATCTGTTATTATGGGTAGTCATGACCAGGACTTTGCCATCCACCCAATAGGTGCTTATAACCTTTGGAGGGTTGTTTTAAGATTGGAAATTTGGCAAATGGTCCCAGAGCACTGTGTCACCTCCTTGGCAATTCTGCCAAGTGTCTCTTACCAAGCAGCCTCAGAGCAAAAGGCCCCAAGAGGCTAGGGAACCAGGAAAAATAGCTCTGGGGAGAACAACCAATTTGGCAAAAAAAACCCGCACACACTTCAGTGATGAAGGAGATAAAAATAGGTAGCTACTTGAGGGGGGGAGGCGGGGGGAAGAGAGGACTTAATTTGGGCTTCTTAGGGTGCTAGTTGGTTCTCTACAGCACTGACGGGAAGCTACAAGGCCACTACTGTCTAAGTTCTGGGTTCATGAATGCTCAACTTATATATTGCAATGAACAGTTGACAGAAAAAGAAAACCAGTCCAGAGGAAATGCTTTGCCACTCAGCAGCATGAGGCAACTGCAACTATAAAGACAAGTCTTGATGGTGATGACGATGATGATGACAATGGATAGCCTCCTGTTTACAAAGCCAATTTATAAATAACACGATTTTTTAAAAAATAAGCTAAAAGCAAGCACAAAATACCTTCATTTTGTATTCCCTTGCTCTGCCTTTCAGATCTACTTCTATGCTTTTGAAGTTTTCCGCACTGCCAGGCTTGAAGAGGCGATCATCCCTTATGTCACACTGGGCATTGGCCTCTGTGAATTTGTCTCTGTGATCCTGTGTGTAAGTACAGTTGAGCTGCAGGCAGCCTCACTCATTCTGTATGACCAGCTGCAAAGAAAAAGGTCAGAACAAGCAGTGGCCACATGTCAGGTTGGATTGATTGATCCCCTGGTTGGTGGGCATCCTCTCCTCCACAGGGAAGTCCCGTTCGTCAGAACTCAAGTCAGGGTGGCAACCTGCTTCACTTGTCCTGAGCAATGTGGCATGTCAGGGTCCTCTGGGGAGGGCTTCTGTTTGGACTGACCATCTCTTTTGCCCTCAGAGCTTCATCATTGACCACCTGGGCCGGAGAATTCTGCTGTGGGGTGGTTTTGGGATGATGGCCCTCACTTTGGCCCTCCTCATCCTCACTCTGTCTCTCCAGGTAAGCAAGTTCATGGCTCTATGGATCAACACATTTTGGACAATTCTTTTTTATTCACATTTCTCTGACCACAGTATTTTTATATTAGAAGGTTTCTGTTTGTTGTCCCACTTGCCACAAACAGCCACAAAGGTTCTTACTTACAGATATTAATTTCTTCATTTTAATATTTGATTGTTATCTAAATTTTAATTGTACTAATACTGTCACAATATACATTTTGTATCTGTCTTTTTTTTTAGTCTTGTCAGCTGTCTTGATTATCAAATAGATAGCTAAAAAGGTAAACGTCCATTAATAATTTAAAAGGTGAGGTAAAAGACTTGTGCCAGAGGTTAAGGTTGCACTGAAATTCACACAATGACCTAAAACTGTCATGTCTTTTCAGGCCATCACTGGAATCTATAACAGGAAAGGGTTATTTTTTCTGTGGAAATAAATATGCTTTTCAGATGTATGAAGCCCTCCTCCCTGACTTTCATTTTGATGGCTCTCTGTGACCAAAGACATGTTTCATATTCATATGGCTCCAGATTCATATTCATAGATACAGACCACAAACATGCTTTCACAGGCCTGCATGATGTGCTTTTGTGCCTAGGGGCTTAGTAGCATAAACTTCAAGTATAATGTTTAGAGGCTACCTTAACTTGCAATTTCCCTCTGTTTTGGTATATCAGTGAATTAATAAGTATCATTTCTTAATTAATTAATAAGATACATCTCTTCATTGCTAAACAAGGAGCCTCCAGCAGAGTGAATTGAGTAAATAAAGTCAAAAAACTGATTTGGGATGAAACTGAAATCAAAGAAACATGGAAGGCATATTTTAAAGATCTGTCTGGGAATGTTGGAGATATATTGAAGGGTGGAATTGAAATAAATGCTGTAAAGATTAATGTTCAAGGAAAAATAGATGAAGAAGTCATCAATGTAATGAGAATGCTGAAAAAATGGTAAGGCTGCAGACATAGGCTGTAATTGGAGAAAAGATAAAATATGGTTATGGTTTACTTATAGAATAGCTTGTGCAACTTGTACACAGGAAGACTGCATCTGTGTCTGAAGAAGGCTGCTCTCTTTCTCTGGCACAAAGAGAAAAATAGAAGAGTGAATGTAGACACTACAAGGGGATTACACTGTTAAGTGTCCTTGGAAAGATCTCTGTCAGATTTCTGATCAGGAGAGTACCAGAGGTAACCGGAAACAAATCTGGGGAATGGGTGCAGCTTAATACTAGAGAGTGGGGTACACAGACCCCATTTTTGCTATTCAGCAGGTCACTGAAAAATGTATGACTGTGAGAAAGAAAGCTCACAAAAACTTATGCCTTTCAATCAAATTTGCCAGTCTGAAAATGTGATATTTGGCTACCATAGACTAATACAGCTGTTCTTCTACAGTGAGAAAGAAAGGTTATTGTACCTTAGAGAAAGTGTATGATAAAGTGACTTAGGCTTATATTTTGGTATGTTTTCCACAAATACAGAGTTGGTTGATGAATGTGATAAGAGCATGCTTCTGACCATATTATTAAAAGGAGGAAAGAATTGGGTATATTAGGAGAAACTTCTAAAAAAGTTCAATGCAGTGATAATAGAATGTATGGAAATGCAAGAAGAAATACAGCCAAGCATGAATGGGTACAGAATGAATGCCAATTGAATACAAAAGAATGTGTGTTAAGATAGTTTGGTTACACAGGATGGATTGCAACACTAAGATATGAAGGAAAAGTGAATGGATCAAAAGGAAGATTGAAAAAAATCATTGTTTGGATGTGTAAGAGTTGCCACATTCAGTGCCGAATGAAACTCTCGCGAAACACAGGTTCAGTCAAAGAAGTTTACTCGGGTGTAATGCAAGTGGTTACAAACAAAGCCAGGGTTGGCTTGGCACAGATTGCATAGCATTTTATAGGCAACCCATTCCCGTGCTTTGCAAGTCCCGCCTGAGACTGCCCCTGACCACCTCTCGCCCCCAGCTCTCCCCCCCTCAGTTCAATGGCAGGTTCAGCCAGGGTGCTTTGTTTCTTGCTTGTGAGGCAGGTCCCGTGCGGCTGACTCATGATTGTGCTTGATGGGCGGCTGATCGCGGCTTGAACTGTGGGGCTCTTTGTTGCTGTTGTCGGCGGCCTGCCTGCAGCGGCTGGGGAAATCCCACTTGTTACAAGGTAATTGGATCCTTCCTGCGGGCTAATTACCGCCACCTGCCAGCAGTTAACCTGCGGTGAGCGCTTCCTCTTTCCCTCGCCTGCACCTGAGGCAAGGAAGCTGACCAGGCGTGCTTGAACCTAGCTGGGCGGAATGGCGGCTGGCTTGTCTGGCGTGCGCTGAGCCCAGCTGAACCTGACAGGATGGAGTTGATGAGATTCTGAGAAAGAGAGAAGAAAGAAGGTTAGACAAGACAATGAATGAAGAGGTGTCTGGACAGGGTGGAAGCAAGATTAGAAAGGCATGGGAACATATATTGAACACTGTAGTGTTACTATAAAATAGTTTCAACTATGCTGCCTTCTTATCTTGTCTTCAATTTCTCTGGCTTAATATTTCTAATTTCTTTTCTGTGGGTCACATAAAGTTGCTTACACTGAAAGAGAATCAGATGATGGGGATGCATGTACGTCTGCTAACTCACAGAAATGTCCACTGCTATTACTCCATAGGAGTTATTAAGATTTTCTATGGTCATCATAACTTGCACCTGCTGGAAGTGCCATTATCACAGCAGCAGCCAAATCCATTGTAAGCTGAATAATTTCAGGTTATCTATTTCAATAGCCCATGGACACATCCATACACATAGGCTGCAAAAAATATAGTACAATGAGGGAACGATGTATTATCTAAACTTCCAGTGGACTATTATTTTAATTCCATCTTCTCTTGTACTTCCCTTTTAGGATCAGTCTCCCTGGATTTCTTACAGCAGCATTGCCCTCATCTTCCTCTTCATAATTTTCTATGGAATTGGTCCATGTGAGTAAACTGAAATAAAGTCTGTGTCCTTCATAATCTGTACATGCTTGTCATTCTGTACTAAAAATTCAATTTCATCTTGCTTATTTCCCATGTGCTGAGCATTAATATATCAACAACAAATGCCATGAACTTCATCAGCATTGCTCCTTCTCATGTTTTATTGAGTGGTTTAACAAGCATCCATTACAGCAACACCCTTGCTCTTTTCTCTTTTCTCCAGTCTTTATCTGGGGTCATTCAGGGTTCTGTCTCTAACCTCCACAGAATTCAGTTAAATCTTTCAGTCAAGTTCACCATGCTTTGACCAAAGACATATTGACCAGTCCTTGATGTGCAATCATCCTCTACCAGAGTCCATCATCCTTGGTCCTCAAAACCAAAACTGTTCTATCAGGAGCATTCATGGAGCCAATCATTCTTCTTTCTTCCAGTTGTATTTCTCTTTCCATTTACAGTCTTCCTCCTTGGACAAGGCCTCAAGATTTTGTGCTTCTTTTCTAGATTTTTCAAAGTTCCTGGTGAGGTAGTTGCACCTGTTCTTCTTGTCCCCATAAGAATTGGCAGGAATCAATAATTGTCAGTAGTCATGTCCCTTGTGACAGGTTTTTCAACCTGGGCTTGGGAGTAAATTCACAGATCTTCTGACTCTTCATGGCTTAGCTGAGCTCCTTAGTGCGACTTAGCTGAATATTCTCAGATGTAGCTCAGATAGAATAGAATCTTCACTGCACACAAGGATGGATTATTCAAAACATATATTGCCCATTGCATAATATGCAGCATAATAATCAGTATAAAAAACTTTTGGACTCTGAGGGATTTAAACTTCAGGTTTCATCTTCCTGATTTTCTGATTAGAATCACCAAGCATCTGGTGGTGGTTCAGGTTCGATGGGGCAGAACAGACTTCAGTTCATTCCTGACAACACTGAGTGGCTGTAACTGTTTGGCCCCCCTGAGTCAGGGACATTTTCATCATTGGTCTTGGATAGGGTAGCACTTCCCCATTCGAGACCAGTGTGCAACTTGGGAGTCCTCCTAGACTCACAACTACTGCCCAAGAGTAGGGGCAGCTGTGGTCAGGAGGGCTTTTGCACAGGTTCATCTTGTGCTCCAGTTGTACCCTTTCATTGATGGGGAGGCCCTTCAGACAGTTATCATGTCCTGGCCACTTCACAACTGGATTATTGCAATACAGTCTACATGGGGCTGCCCTTGAAGACCATCCAGAAGCTACAGATGATTCAAAATGCAGTGGTGGGAGCAGTAACAAGTGCTTTTCATTATGCCATATGTCATCACTGCTATGTGAGCTGCATTGGTTGCCTGTTGGCTTCTGGGTCCAACTCAGGATGCTGGTTGTCACCTATAAAGCCCTTCATGGCATAGGGCCTGGATATCTGAGGGACCACCTGTCTCTAATTGTTTCTTCCCACCTGGTATGTACTAAATGTTGTCATCTTGCAGGACTGAGGAAGATGCCCTATCTATCGCCCTCTCCCCCACCCTCTGGAACAGCATCCCCCCCAGAAATACAGAAAGCACCCTCTTTCCTGTTCCAGAAAGCCCTTAAGACCTGGTCCCAGGCCTAGTGTTAATGTGTTTGTGAGACCCCTGTTATGGTTTCTTGTTATGGTCATTGTTGTTTTAGTCCAGGCCATCTGTGTTCTTTTATGTCTTTAGCTGTTTTAATTGTTTGTTTTTGAATTTTGTAAGCTGCCCAAAATTTCCTAGAGTGGGCGACCATAACATCAGCAGCAGCAGCAGCAGCAGCATCATGGTGCAGTCTTTAAGCCAAGCAGCTGTAAGTTTATCTAGTGGCCATCTTTGCCTCACAATTAGCTCCCAACAAACAGCATGCTTCAGAATTCAGTAGGTCCATTTAAATCATGTTTCTTGGCTTCTTGTCAGTTTCTAATTACTAAAAAAATCCTCCAGTTCTTTTTGTTTTCTTGCAAGGTACAACTACATGTCATGTGTTCTTCAGGGATCTATCACCCTGTCTTTTTTTTTCCCACTGAAGGCTTGAATGTTTCTTCTGGGAGGACCTCAGTTCTTTTTCTGAGTTCATTTGTTATTTATTTATTAACTTGTACCATGCTGCAACCTAGCAACTCCTAGCAGCTTACAGAATATAACAATTAAAATATCCACAGTATGATTTAAAACAAATAATATCATCACACTTCAATGAAGAGAAAGAAAAAACAAAGAAAGGTACAAAGAGAGGTACAAAAATATAAAATAGAAATGGTACAGTGCTTAAATTACTGCAATGTCAATTATTTCCTGTTTCTTTTGCTTTTGGAATCAATCTTATCAGCTGAGTATGATCCTTTCTTTGACTGTATTTCTAATTGAAAGTTTATTTATTTATTTATATTTATTTATTTATTAAATTTCTCCCCTGCCCATCTCCCCCCAATGGGCGACTCACACAAAACATTAAAACCATAAATACATATAAATACATAAAACATCAAAATTTTAAAAACATTACTAAAAAAAAGGAAAAGTTGTCTGCTTTGTTAGGCCTGTTGTAATACCTCCATTATTTATCTGATAATACAGTATCTTCTCTCAATAACTGAAATATGGCCACTCATTACTCCAATTCTCTTGAGTACATCTTTTCAATGCTCTTCAAGCATTGGTACAAGTCTATACTAGTTCCTAGGTATATACTATATATATAGGTATAGGTATATAGGTATATATATACCTATATATAGGTATACCTATACCTATATATATATATATATACCTATACCTATACCTATATATATAGGTATATAGGTATATACCTATATATATATAGGTATATACTAGGTATATGCTAGATTGCTTTAGAATGCCAGAATCATTGCAGATCACAATTTCAGAGTCTAGTCCTTTCTTATATATGTTTGCTTCTTAAAGCACCTATGTAGAAAACTTTTATTGACTTTTGACTTAGAGAGAAAATTTGTTAGGCTCTCCTGTTTGCTCACCCTGTTACTCTATGATCATGCTGTCTGAAATCTGGCTACCTTATATTCCTCCTACAGCCTCTGCTTGCTCAATAAAGCAGTCACTCAATTACCAACAGTGATCAATGAGCAGCTCATTGCAGTGAATCACCAACTACTATGACTCTTTATCTTCTTATAGGGCACAGTTGTATCCTTTTTGTCTTTTAGGGATTTGTTGTCTATCTCCCATTCTGCAGTGCCTCTTTCCTGACACACTCAGAGATGTTTCATCTGTGAAGGCCTGAAAACTGGTTTGATTTCTAGTGGTGCAGAATATCTTCTACATATTTTGCTTCTGATTGTTACACTCACCCACTATGCTTGCTCTTATCTTCCTTATGGAGGGTTGCTTCTATTTTCCTTGTATTGATCAATCCTTGTCCTTTTTCATCAATTTTTTCAATCTTTTGACATTTTCTTTAAGGATAATACAAGGGTGCATTTGCTGCAAATACGTATATCCCAGGTTGTTTTCAGATAGGAAGACAAGCATATCATAAATACTGTGAGTCGCAACTGCAGATTTCTATCTATTTACCTTTATTCATTCTACTCAGATCATTACTATTTCTTCTCATTCCTTTCTCAGGCTCTCATGCTGATCAACCACAAACTCTTGATTTAGGAGAGAATATTTGCTAGGAATTCCCTCTTAGATGCCTTCTTGAAACTCCCCAGGGAAACTCGCATTAACTCTCCCTGTTTGTTCAGTCACCCAGCCACCTACAATAGGCAATGATCAGCTTGCAGGACACACCCCATTTTCACCCTTCATAGTTAAGCACACAATCCCCTGGAAGGTCAGCTTTTCTAGTCACTCTCTTCCTTGCTTATGTTTACTTCCTGTTGAATCTGGCTGCTTCTGGAGTAAACAAAGAAGGAGAGCAGATGGCCATTTTCCTGTTGAATTCTACAAGCAAATGGTCATCTGTTCTCCCTCTTTGTTTACTCCAGAGTGGCCAGTTAAATGAAGCAAAAATCCACAGACCTAGATGCTCCATGCTCTCCAGAAAGAGTTCTGTTTTGCATTTGAACTTTTGGAAAACACCTCTCTTTGCAGGGTGTCTCTCTCTCTTCCACTTAATTTTTACCAAGACAGCTTATTCTTCTTTGTGTGTGTGTGTGTGTGTGTGTGTGTGTGTACCTTTGAGTCACTCTTCTCCTGGCAACTGCTTAGATTGTCTGCAGTTTTCTTTGCAAGATCTTTAGAAGGGGTTTGCTCTCGCCTTCTTTTTCCTACAGCTGAGAGAGAGCAATTGGCACAAAGTCACCCATCTGGTTTTGTGCCTAAGGTGGGACTGGAACTCATGGTCTCCCAGTTTCTATTCTCATGCCTTAACCACTACAACCTTTTTCTTCTCTAATCAAGTAAAATCGTTTCTCCAATAATTTACATAGGGAAAAACTTCCCTCGGGGGCAAGGAGAGACCAGATGGAAATGAGGGGAACAGTTTCTGGCTAGGTCCTTCTGGACCAGTAAAATGACAGAATGCTGGCACTGAGGGGGGGACACTGAGACCACGAGGCCGCAACTTCCAAATGAGAGAACCCATGACTCTTCAGTACGTGAATAAAGGGAAGATTCCATCTTCCTTGGTAATGGGTTCTCCTGCCTCACCTCAAAAGGTTTTTTTCCTAACATCCAGCCAGAACCTACTTTCCTGTAACTTATACTTTTATTCCGAGATCTCGGTCTTCTGTGTGATAGCCTTTCCAATATTTGAAGAGCATGGTCATATCTCCCTTCAATCTTTTCTTCTCAGATGGCTATTTCCACCCATCTCTCTTTACTGGGGCTGAGTTTCTAGTTCCCTAATCATTGTTGCTGTCCTTCTCTGAACCTGTTCCAGTTTGTCTGAAACCTTAAAATTTATGAGCAAGAACAGAACACAAAACTGCATTCCAGAGTGAAACTGAATGGAACCATTCATGTCCATGATTTGGAAATTATGCAGCAGCCTAAAGCTGAATTTGCCTCATCTTCAATTTCCAAGATTCTTTTCATATGTACAGTTGCCAAGTAATTGTAAATACCTGTACATTTCTGTTTCCTAAACAGCAACAACAACAAAAACTTTGCTCTTTGTTCTGGTAAATATGATTTGGTTCTTTTTCAATCTTTTTCTGTAACACATCATTCTGCTTGATGTTAGATACTGGTGTAGATGACAATGGGATCCAGCTGCAACTTTTACCACACATGCCTTTTCCTGGCTTCCACTGCTATTCATGCCCCTGTCACCAATCTTGGAAAACCAGCTTTGCTCCCATCCATCCCAGGGAGTGTACAGTGGATGATTATTTTCTCAAGGGATAGGGGGACTTCCCCCTTTCCCAGCTCATCTTGGGGAGGGGGAAGAAGTCCTGTGAAATAGGATGCACTTGAACATGTACACACAGCGGTGTGGGGACCAGAATCCCTGACTATGAACTATGACATGTTTTAAATTAAGTGAACCATTCAATGATTAGAGGACACCAGGAGCATGCTCTGCCAGCTATATTCATGATTGAAGGCCTGGCACTTGCTGCATCTTGCCAAAAGGGTTCTTGCCATGGTGAGCTCTGACAGGGAGGGGCACAAGGGACACAGGGCTCCTCATGAGCATGGAACATGAATTCTGCAAGGGAGGGACAGCCTTGACTTTCTGTGGGTGTCTTTCTTTCAGCTGGTGCCATCTTCTCTGTCATGGTGGAGATTTTCAGTCCTGCTGCAAGACCGTCTGCCCTTGCCCTTGCTGGCTCGGTCAGCTGGGTGGGCCTCTTTATCATTGGCTTAGGTTTCCCCTTTGTGGTGGTAAGTTGGACTGAAGTTCATGATTCCACATGGAAGGAGAAATAAATTAAAATAATAACATAAATCATGTATGTTACAACAATCCTGGTACTTTGAACTGATTTTAGAGCTGATTGCCAATTAACAGTTTCAAAACATTCTTACCGTGTTTAATTTCAGAGAAAGATGTTTGTTTCAAAGAGTACATTTGGGCTTTCTTCTGCTGTTCTTCAACTATCTTAAAATGAGACTTTCAACATGGCATTTTTTACTGTTTTTTTCCCCCCCAATCATTTCCAAAGAGGATTCCCTACCCACAACTCGTATTTGTCCCGACAAAGACTCTGGTCTTCCTTTGGTTTTTTCCTTTGTCAATCACAAGCTTCAAGGGGCTCTAGGAAAAGAATGCTGAGAGGATTCAAAAGGGAGCTCACTGACCAGCATTTGAGCCGGCTGAACTCCCTCAGCCCAACTTTCTTCACAGGGTGTCGCTGTGGAAATAAAGGGAAGGGCAATCCCTATGGAAGCTGCTTGGGGCTCCTAGAGAAAGGGCAAGATATAAATCTGTTAAAATCAATTAATCAATAAGGGGAACATAAGATTCTGAGACCCAAAGTAGCTTGATGTTGGAAAGTCAGAGTTGTGAGCTCTGAACTCTGCACATGCATTTTTATCAAGCTGTGGTGTGATTTTAAATCACAAATCTTGGATCTGAAGATAGCATGCAAAGTTTAAAAATAAAATTAAACTCCCAGTTTTAAAACTCTGACTCAACCACCATCCTCTTGCTCTGGCACAAAGATATCCCCTATTTGTTGAGGACAGGAACACACAGCTTGTCCTCTTCCCATCATTTTTGCTCCACTGCAAAAGTGGGATTATTCTACATCTGCTGGCGAATCATTCCAAGGGGCGAGGGTCTGGCCCCCAGTCCCTGGCCACTGGTTTCAGGATCATTGGCCTTTTGGCAGTGAGCAAGTCAGGGCTCCCTCACTGTGTCCAAAAACCATCTCCTGACTTCTCTTGCCCATCTGTGCATGGTAACAGAAGCCTTTTTACTCAATTCAGGATCCACTAAAGCATCTCTAATAGATGACCAGCCAGCCTCTATTTGGACCGCCAGTGAAGAACTCACTAGTTCATGTGACAACCTGTTCCTCTGGCTGACAACTCCCATGGTCAGAAGTTTCCTCCTGATGTCTAACCAGAACCTCCTTCTTTGTAATTGTAGTCCTTTGGTTCTAGCCCTGCCCATGGGGACAATAGATAATAAGCTCTCCTTCAGATGTTTGAAGACTGCTATCATATTGCCCCTCAGTCATCAAACAGACTAAAATATTGAACCATTCTTCATAGGGCTTGCTTTCCAGAGACTTAGTAGCCCTACTCTGAAAGCCATTCTTATGTGTCACTGTCTTTTTTGAACTGTGGTGCCCAGAACTGGACCCAGCATGTAAGTGACGTCTGACCAGGCCAGGACAGACTGGAAGAATTGCTTCCCATGATCTGAATTCTATGATCCTGCTAATGACCCAAGATAGCTTTGCCTTTTGTAATCCATCCAGCCCTGGAGTTTTGTTGTCATTCAAATCAGTGAAGTTCTTGCTTTTCCTCTTTTGTCTGTCTGAAGCTGCAGTTCCCTTATTCCCCCAGTGGCCTTGCAATGACCAGCTACAGCTCTGTTTCTGTTCTGAGGGAAGAGAGACCCCACATGGTTCTGCCTTCCTTCAATCACCCATTACCCAAACAGCCTTCCCCGCTACCCCTGCCCTTTTGGGTATCTTTCACAAGCTTCAGCTCAGTCTGACACAACTTCTACAACTTCAGGCAACTGCCTTGTATTCTTCTTCAGTTATGTTCCTCTATTTTTCCATTTCTTGTTCCTAGCCCTTTTTCTCTTCACTATTTTAGAGGCCTGCATGTATTCATGCTGGCCTCTTTAGATTTTTCCTTCTTTTGAGGACAGTTTGCAATTGTGCCTTCAGTATCTTATTTTGTAGAATTTTCTATTCTTCCTGGAAATGTTTCTTCCTTCAAGTGCCAGCTGTTGAATCCAACCAACTTCACATCTGAATTCACCAAAATCCTCTCTCCTGAAGTCCAGGATGCAGGTCTGTCTCTTCTCAATGCCTCCTCCTCTGGATATTACAGATTCATAGATAACATTATCACTTGCCCCAAAGATCCTACTCAACTTCGTTCAAGCAATTCCTCCCTGTTGGTGAGGATTAGATCTAGGACAGCAGGCCACCGTGTTCTTTTTTCCACCTTCTGACAAGAATTCATTGGATCTCTGACTCTTGGCAGAGTTAGATTCCCAGTGGATGTGAGGAAATTCCCCCATTATCATTATTACAGGTCTCTGTGAAAAACTGTTTACCTGACTCAGACAGGCCATATACACATCTTCTGCCAGCTCGGAAGGTCTATAAAAAATTCCCACAGTGATATCTCTTTGTTTCTTTCTCCTTTTATTCTTACCCAAATACTTTGAACAGGATTTCCATGCTCCCATTCCTGAGTTTCTGTGCAATACGGGAGAGACAGAGAGAGATGCTCTACAATGCGCCACTTCTACCATTGCAGTTAGGTCTGCTCCATCTGAATACGTTGCAGTCTTCCAAGGTTATGTGCCCATTATGAGCATCAGCCCACACATTTTCAGTAATAAAATCACATCATATTTGTTTTCTGAGTTAGGGTCTTTAGTTCCTCCTCTGGCATTGATGGAGAAACATCTGAGTGGTACCACCTCCTGGTCTCTTTGTCTGGTGTCCTGAGAAATTCTGCTTTCTTGGCTCCAGTCCTTGCTGGCACATGCAGCTCTAGTCTTTGCCACCCCTCTCTTTTTTTCCCACTTCTGATGAGACTGGCAAGACACCTTCCAGATCCTTACTTTCCACATTTTATAAGATGGAACATAGGATACTATTGCGGAATCCAAACCCTTTTGGTGACACCATTGCCATAGCTGCTTCTTGACCTCCAGAATCCTCTTTCTTCTTTTGTGCCATGACCCAGCTGAGAAAAGCACATCCATGCTCCCAGTTCCTCTTCCTCCCTGCCCAAGGCCTCATAGTCTCCACAGATTCTTTCATGGTCAGAGGGCTTTTCATGCATTGTCCAGTGGTCAAGTGATAGACTGATGAACACATATCACATTAGTGTATGCAGTGGTGTGCCAGGAGATCACTCACCCATGTCAAGAGGGAATTATTCTGACGTGTGTTAGAGGTACATTAATATACAGCTGATGTGAACAAGATACCATAGGTCCTGTAGTCCCGCAGCAGCCCTGTGAGAAAGCCACAGACAATTTCACCCACAGAGCTAACAGTAGAAGAGCTACCAGCATCCCTGCAGTGAAACTGCCCTAGTGAAGCTGTTCAAGAGAGCCAGTTTCATGTAGTGGTGAAGGTACCAGCCTAGCAACCAGGAGACGGTAAGTCCTGGTCCCACCTAAAGCATGAAAGTCAGCTGGGTGACTTGGGGCCAGTCCCTTGTACTCAGCCCAACCCAGCTCACAGGGTTGTTGTTGTCGAGAAAATAGGAGGAGGAAGGAGTATTAGGTATGTTCACACCTTGAGTTACATATAAAAAAGGCAGGATAAAAATCTAATTATCACCTTCATCATCTGCTGGACCCATGGGCAGCTTTGCCACAGGGAGGGCCTCTTCCACCCCACTTCAACTACTGCAAGTGGCTCTTCAACCACCACTCTGTGGGGAGAAGCAAGTCTTTTTGGTGGTGGAAGAACTGGTACTAAAAAACCTACTTCCCTAAGAGACGAGGAAGTGAAAGCAGGGGGGATACTAACACCCCAGGAGTAATCACTTTTCTGGATTGAAGAAGTGACAGCAGAAGAGCTCCAGAAGAACTTCACTTTCCCACCCTACCTCTACCTGCTTCTCAGGTATACACAGAAGTCCTGTTCTGCTCTGTTGCTGAGGGAAGGTTGAAATGTCAACACTTCCTTAAGTCACCATTGTTTTCTGCCAGCTCTTTAGGCTCCTGTCTCCAAAAAGGGCATGTGCTAATCCCAAACACCTAACCTTCAGCTGCACATCCACTCATGTACAGGCCTTTTTGAGTTTTGTCTGACCTCTTTTAAGTTTGAGCCACTGAGCGCTTTGTCCATTCCTTCTTGGAGACCATGTGATGGGTAAAAAGGACTTTCTTATTGTCCAACTGCACCCGTTGCCCATCAGGTTCACTTGGTGGCTTGGATTTCACCAAGTTTTAAACTCGCCAGTGCTTTCCAGCTCCAGTCCCAAACATCTATGCAGGGGAGACAACAGTTCTGGAAAGGGAACCTTTATGGGGAACTTGCCTGCATTCAGAAAGTCCAGAGTGAGCTGGTCTAGAACAGGAAGAAAAACACAGTGAATCTCCTACTTCTACCCATGGGAAACCCTCTCACAGCCAGTTGCAACCCTTCCCAGAGTCCAGCAGGGCCTCATGGGTGGTTCAGTTTCTTCTTTAAGCCTTGGCCAAGAAACTCATTCTTTCCTCTAATTTTCTTTCCTTAGGAGGCCCTTAGTTACTACTGCTTCCTCATCTTCTTCGGTGTGCTTGTTGGAATGGGAATTTTCATCTACCTCTTCCTTCCAGAGACAAAGGGGAGGTCAATCCTAGACATAACAGAAGACCTCAACAGGATTCCTCTAGGGAAGAAGGTCACATTAACTGCTCTGGAAAATAATTCTCCTGGAAGCCACAGCATCTGTACCAAGTTATGACAACAGCCCTGCTGGGAAAATGCAGGCTTTGAGGACTAAACCAAATGCAGGGATTTTACTATGAAAATCACCAGGCGAGGGAGGAGAGGGGCAGAGAAGGTACTCATGATGGGATCAAGGCAGCCGTGGAGAAGGCATCTGACTCTTTCCTCCTTCTGCTGAAGCTAGAAAGCCTATATTACCCCTCAGCCACCACAGGCACAGTCCCTGGGGCCTATGAAACTTCTGGCATCTACAAAAAAGCTTTAAGCTAAAAAAAGCCTGTAACATCAACATTTGTGTATCCTAAAATCAAATATATTTAAGATGTTATTACCATTTGATTATATTTATAACTGCTGCAATGGGCCAGAATGGATGTGATGACTCCAACTGAATCTATGAATTCTGATCAAGCCCAGACCCTGTAGGCATAGTTACTTCACCTTGCACAGATGTCAATTCTGTCCTTATAGCCTACAAAAACCTGAATACAGGTAATAAGAATAAGAAAAAAAAATTAGATATATAATTTTTATTAAATAATTT